CGCCTCTGCCCGCGGGCTGCCAGCCCCGCCGGACGCAAGCCTGCTGCAAGCAGGCCGCCGGTCGGCTGCAGCAGACACAGCCCCTGTGCTGCCCGCCTTCGGCTGCGCTGCACGCACGCAGATCGAGGGCAGCAACTGTTGCTGCCTTTTCTTGTTTTTGCGTCAACGATTTTGACGTCAAAATTCTTCCAAAACACAACACACGCAGTTCAAAACCAATCATTCGCACGAACAACCTGGCTCTGATACCACTGTTGGAAAATCATGGGGGTGACATCACATGCGCAGCGGAAGAACAAGAAAACAAAATCCCCGATTCCCAAAGAGATGTTCGTCGTCGTACGAAGATTGGTGCGCAAAATCCGCGAAACTTAAAACTGCGTATAGAGTAGGTTGTGTTACCTAGGGAGATCGTATATCCCTGTTTCCTTGCAGATCCTTAGGAGAGGGTGAAGAAGGTCAAGCGTCATCCTCTCTAGCGGTGATCCACACAGCAGGGTTGCGACGACGCTCCTCAAGACTCCAGGCCTGCTCTGAGGTGGAGGAAGAGGAGAATAGGAAAGGCAAGCAAAGGCTCTAGCTTATGAGGCTCTGAATCCCTCCTATTTATAGAGGTCCCCTGTCAAACCCTAATGGGTCCTCCCCTAGTGGGTATTGGATCTGCATCCAATAAGACAATGGCTCCGTCGGATATCTCATATCTGAACCTCTACTCATCGCAATGCCTACCATATGTGTGTGACCCTCTAGGCCCAATATCAAGCTGGCCGTGAGTCATACCTATCAGAACTCTTTCTCACTCAGTGAATTATTATCTCTGTAATAATTCACTTGACTCATCGACTACGGAAGTACTAGGCCACTACGCCGTAGTCCCCAAACGATACAGTGGAATCCAATCCATTGGACCTGTCTGTCCTCAGTTACCGTGTACCTATAGTCCCTCATCCATCTAATATCCCAGAGATCGTATATCGAACATGGTGTTGTCAGACCCATACGGTTTCTACTCGAGTCTCGTTCTAATCGGATTCTCCCGGAGAACTCTTTCTCTCTCAACCCGAATGACCCTGGCTAGGGATTTGTCTGAGCAAGAACACATGGGATATTCCTCTCATGACGTCGAGAGTGGATGATCCTCTATCGACACACAATAGCCCTCGTAAGGTCGACTACCACTCCCAATGACCAGCTGTACTAGATCTGGGACAGCCAAACCTATAAGTCTGGTATCAAAGAGTAGAGCACTCATACAGGACATCCTTGGTGTCTCAAGTCTAAGGACCAGATACACCACTAAGACTACGGAATCGCTATCTGACAATAAGGCATCATCAACCATCCAGCATTCCGTAAGCGGATCAATCAGTGAACTCATTCTCTAATGAGCACCTGTACTGTATCCCTAGTGTCCCTATACGAGCAGCTATGAGACCAACTGCATCCATCATATGGACGGGTATACATCACACCAGTCTATCCGGTTATCACGATGTCCCTCTCGAGTAACCTATGACCGGGATTATTTAGGATATGTGTTTAAAGGTGAATCGATCTCATTATCGTGATCTCATCACGATCCGATTCCCATTGCACAAATCCAAGGATATCACAATATATGTATGCATTTATGCAATAGTTATAAAGTGATATACGCCAAAATATAATAAGCAAAAAGATTCTGTATCAAGTCACACGTGCCATCACTCACGTGATTGGCTTGCTGGGCACCTATGACTAGTAGGCTGCGTGTTGCCTGAGACCACGCCTGCGCAGCCAGCCCGCCTGCGCCGTGCTCCTCGACCGCTTGTTGCCTGAGACCACGCCTGCGCGACCTGCCCGCCTGCGTCGTGCTTCTCAGCCGCATGTTGCCCGAGACCACGCCTGCGCGGCCAGCCCACCTGTGCGGCCAGCCCACCTGCGCCATGCTCCTCGGCCGCATGTTGCCCGAGACCACGCCTGCGCGGCCTGCTCGCCTGCGCCATGCTCCTCGGTTGTGTGTTGCCCGAGACCACGCCTGCACGGCCAGCCCGCCTACGCCGTGCTCCTCGACCGCGTGTTCCCCGATACCACGCTTGCGTGGCCTGCCCGCCCACGCCGTGCTCCTCGGCCGCGTGTTGCCCGAGACCACGCCTATATGGCCTGCTCGCCTACGTCATGCCCCTCGGCTACGTGTCGCCCGAGACCACAGCCTCTGCTCGGCCTGCTCGATTGAGTTGTGCTCCTTGACCGCGCACTACTCAGGGTCACCGCTGCACATCCAACTCTCCTTAGTTACTAAACTCCACGATTCCCACACCCTTGGCAATGGACCGACAAACGCCCGACAGATACAGTTTCTCAAAGCCGAAGCCATGCCTCGGAACCCCATTACAGCAACCGATGCATAGCTTCCTTCGGGGGGGAATATGATGAGGGTAATAATTGCGATAAGACTCGCGTGACATCAACTGCCCCAGATGACGCCTCACACCTCTGTTGACATGATGAGGCACCTGGTCAAAGCGGACCGGAACACCTACCAAGGCACATTAACGCCCTGCTCAGGCTCGATCCCCCACGCCATACCAACGACAATGTTAGACGCTACCAAAAGTATGATCCTGCTCCCTGCGGGCTAGCACATCAGGCAACGGTAATTCTCACTATAAAAACCCTCGCGCTCCGAGGAAAAGGGGTGAGGGAGAGACGAAAGGCACACAAGAAGACACAACTTAGCTAAAGAAACCCCCTGCGACTATCTACTAACTTGATCGTTGGAGGGGTCAGGCCGAGCTCCCCGACCCGACCTTTATGCATGTGCGAAGGCGGAGGTCACCCACTAAACGCACTGGCGAGGAGTTCTTTTCCGGAGGGAATAGCGACCCCATCCTGATCGGAACACCATGATCGGCCACCTCAGCAGTCTCAAGCAACGTCCCAAGGAGATCCCCCATCATCCGGACCCGAACCAAGCCGCGTCGGCCCCAAGGCCACGGCTTAAAGTTGTTTACACCAACATGTGTCAAATTCCTATGTTGAATTGATAACGTTATTCAGTTATTGCTAATTAACCTTATCCCATTTCATCCTTTGCAATACTGCAAATCATAACACCAGTTCATGTCGAGATGCGTTCCTACATTGAGCCGATAACCTTATCGATTGCTAAAACTATATGATTCTTTTTCTAATACTCTTTGCGCTTTCAAAATTCATGTTGACCAATTCCTATATTGAGTTGATAACATTACCGATTGTTAAAACTGTGTGTGTTCAATTCTTATGTTGAGCTAATGACGTTATCCTATGATTGCTAATTGACTTTATCCCATTTCATCCTTTGCAGCACTATGAGTCACAGTATCAGTTTATGTTGAGATGAGTCTCTATATTAAAGTGATAACCATATAGATTGCTAAAACTATATGATTATTTTTTCGATCTATTTTTCTTTTTCCAAATTCATATTGACCAATTCTTGATAATATATTTTTCTTTTATCAATTTATCTCATTTTTTCAATATATATATATATATATGTATATATATATATATACATATATATATATATACATATTTATATATATTTATATTTATGTATAAATAAAGTGCCTTATTTGGGCCTACCTCAGTGGGATTTTTGTTTAGTGTGAAAGCCCATATGTTGGAGTTGCTAGTAATCATTGCTGCGCCACCTTCATCTCACGTAAATGTTAAGTATGAAGCATAACGATGATTTGGCTTTCAGACTTCACACAGTTGTCGTTCTTCTGCAGACAAACATAAGTTGAAGTTGCCAGCAGTAGGTCGTGATTTGCCAACCCATGCAATGAACGATGCACTCCCTCCATGCCATCAAGACCATGTTAACGAGAGACATATGTGGTATTCTTCGACCTCGATCATGTTGTTGGCAACTCCCCCGGACAATCTCCGAAGCAATGAAGATTACTCTCTCAACTTTCTCAAAAAGCTAATGAGTAGCCACTAGAGAAGTGCTTATGGTTAATGAGCAGTGGTTGCATCAGTAATGGCGGAGATGGCTTTAGCTTTACCCCTACTCCATAACCAAACCCTAGTAGTAATATACTCCTTTCATCATTCTTCCTTGCACCACCTTCCACTCCCTATAAACTTGCCCTGGAACAAGCACTCCTTCCTCGCTTGCTCCCTACTCGATGAAGATACCAAAAGGGAGACTCCCTCTCTCGCTCATGGCGGTTGTCATCTCTGCCGTCGCGTTCACTGGGTTGATCTTCACCGAGGACCTTCGTGCTCTTACTGGTACATCGATTCTTAAGCTTACAGCTTGTTCTAGAAAGGATGATGCAGTAGCCAAGTCTAGTAAGGTGTCTTCAGGTAACCACGTCTTGGGTAGCCACTGCGGATCTCCTAACACTGCACTGTCGTTTTTTTATTTGAGCTGCGTGTGCTTCTTGCTAGAGGAGCGAGACAACATGTCTGTTCTCGACGACGACATCGTTGATGAAGACAAGATCGGATTCAGTGCCAGGGAGTGCAGCGTTACGGAGGGGAGGTGGGTCTTCAACCGGTCTCAGGAGCCTCTGTACTCCCCCCGAAGTTGCCCCTACTTAGATCGGCAAGTACAATGCATGAGGAACGGAAGGCCTGACGACAGCTACCTGTACTGGGTGTGGGAGATGGATGACTGCACGCTGCCAAGGTGAGTGCATCCCCTTCAGCCTGTCATCCTTGATGTCGTCTCTCTGAGAAGCTGTGCTCTTACAGATTCAATGCTGCTGTGGTGCTTGAGAAGCTGAGAGGGAAGAGGCTGATGTTTGTGGGGGACTCGCTGCAAAGAGCCCAATGGCAGTCATTCGTCTGCCTCGTGCAAGCTCAGATACCACCAGAACACAAGTCCATGAACCGCAGTCGATCTCTCTCTGTCTTCAGGGCGAAGGTATTCTTCGTTGGCCGTTCAAACCATCAACCAGAATGCAGCTAAAGCTTTTGGTCTGTAACCATTTATGTACTCATGATCGCAAGGAGTACAACGCCACCATCGAGTTCTACTGGGCGCCGTTCCTCGTCGAATCCAACACAGACGGACACATTATCGCTGACACGAGCAAACGAATCATACGAGTAGATTCCATCACCAAGCATGCTCGTCATTGGATCGGTGTCGACATCCTTGTCTTCAATACCTATGTCTGGTGGATGAGCGGCCAACGAATCAAATCCTTGTAAGTAAATGGTCTTCGACTCCGAACAACCCAAGATCGATTCATGTCTTTGTGAGTACTCTGATCAGGTGGGGCTCCTTCGCTAATGGAGAAGAAGGGTTCGAGGAACTGGACGCGGTGGTCGCCTACAGAATCGGCCTCAAGACGTGGGCTAATTGGATTGATTCGACACTAAATCCAAATGCCACAAGAGTCTTCTTCACCACAATGTCCCCCACGCACATGAGGTTCATGGTTATCACCCTGTTTTTGCTCGCTCATGATCACTGGCCATGAACGCTGTCCTTCCGCTTACACTGCAGGAGCGCAGACTGGCACAACAGGAACGGGATCAAGTGCTACAATGAGACGGAGCCCGTCAGGGAAAGAGGATACTGGGGAAGCGGCTCCGATCGAAGAATAATGCAGGTGGTCGCAGGCGTAGTGGGGAGGATGAGAGTCCCGGTGACCTTCCTCAACGTAACGCAGCTCTCGGAGCATCGGATCGATGGGCACACCTCGGTCTACACAGAGTTCCAGGGGAAGATCTTGTCGGAGGAGCAGAAGGCGAATCCCCTGCGCTATGCCGACTGCATCCACTGGTGTTTGCCTGGAGTTCCCGATACATGGAACCAACTCCTCTACGCTTATCTGTGAGACGAAGCACCGAGGAAGAGTCCATGTAACCACAACGCTCTTTACCTTGAAGCAAGTGTAGGGAGAGAGGGAAGTCACCAATTATTTGTCAGAGTCCAAAAGTGATCGGGAATTGTTATGTACAATTTATAGCAGATTTCCATCATCATGATTCTTCTGACCATATCAGAAAGCACAAAACCATTGCAAGCTCTATCAAGGATCAGCTTCTAAGTAGTCTTCAAGCATGGAGAAAGTGAATGGTGTGTTGCTTGAGGGGGAAGTGGTAGCACAAATTATGTAATTATGCGAAAATTTTTTTGTCAATATTAAAATCAAATAAAATTAGATCTAATAATATTAAGATGCGCATATTTTATTGTTGTTCACCTTATCTGATCTATAAGCACCTCATCATCGTCAGATAAGAGATATCAAAGAGAACTAGATCTTCTTCTCTGAATTAGAGAGCTTAAGAGAAAAACTTTAATCTCTCAACTGTATTGAGATGCGTCATCATTAGTCCCTAAAGGTCCTATCTATTTATAGGTGAGAGCAGATGATCTAAAATAAGTTACTAGGAAAATTCCTCCCATCAAAGTTATCTCCTAAAGAATCCAATTTTAACGTGAATTTTTTTTCTATTGACTAATAACCATAATCAGAATCCAATCATATCTATAATATATCTTATCTAATTAAATATGATAACATAATCTAACAAGAAGATGATACAAATGGAATAATGATAGTACTTGTTATCATCTTGAGCTCTACACTTAATTAGTAAATGACTCAAACCTAAAACATTACTTAACATTGCCAAGGCATGTGTTTTTCTTCCTAGTTTTAGCTTTCTCATCCTATCACAAGTAGACAGCAGCAATTACATCATAAAAACCAGATAATGAAGAAACGATGGCACCATAAATCACAACAAGCCAAGCTCATACTACAAAATAATTGAACCAATGCACTAAGTTTTAAAGTATTGGGTGGGGGTGACATTTGGGTAATAGGATTTGACTTTTGCTTTTTAAAGGTGCTTGTGATGGTAGCATATATTCTTTTTCCATTTTCTTTAAAGAAAGGATTTAATATTCTGTTAAATGATGGTCCAGCAAATCTACAAAAGATCAACAGTGATGTGTGCCTGATTTGTTAGTGCAGCGGTTTTATTAGTACTTGAGCGAAAGAACAAGAATACCAAAATAATGGCAAAATGGTAACATGATTTGATACTTAGTATGCATGGAAAGCATCAGATGGAGATCATAAACTGGAAACTTATAATTTGCGACAACTAAGAATACATATAATACCTAATTTGCAAGCCCTTAACTATGATGGAACGATGAGAACCAAGTTTTGTTTTACCCTCTAAACCGGCATGTCGGTTGGCCAACTGTACATCCGTACTCGTATTGATGTGTTGAGTGTCGACATGACAAGGTATACCAATGGCACTGAAAAAAAAATAAAAATTCCTCAAAATTTACCTAAAAATAAAACAAATTTAGATTAAGATTTTTAAGTTAAAATAAATATAAATTTAGTATAATTTTAGTCAAAATATTCTAAATTAGAATAAGTAGTGGAATATATCTTTGAAGCATCATCTTTGATATTGAATTATCTAGACAGAAATTATTTAAATGGTTAGGTTTCGAGTTAAACTTTAAGATTCAAATAAATAAAGTGATAAATAGATCAATAGATATACTTATATCTATCACCAAAAAGAATGACGGGATTCTATTGACAATGGATTAGGATCCGTAATCTTTTATATCTTCTTATATATCTATATATCAATATGATATATTTGAAAAACTCAATCCTGAAATTGATCCTATTATTTAATATACTGATACACCGTATATCATTGATGCATCAATGTGGTGATGATCATAGTTTAAATATTATTCATCGCGTCTAAGAGGACTTTAAGGTAAGTACAATTATAGCATGTATGAGTGCAAAGGTTAGAGAATGTCATTACTTCTACTTTCGTTACCAATTATCTACGTCATGTCATAAAATTGATTATTATATTACTACTTGAAGAAGAATGATCAACTATCACTATACTACTATTGGCTGTAAGATTCTCCATAATATAATGGTTGGGAATACGATGAGCTCTGTTTTGCATCTATGTCGTGTAAGCTCTATCACATATGTTCAAAATCATCCATTGCATTCCTCTTTGTTATTTGTGTATAAAGTTGGCCAACATCTCATCAAGCTTCATGATATGAATCTTGAGTAGCATGCGTAAAATACTACTCCTTGATCTATACACCACCCTCAAACTGTGTAGATGAGATCATCAACTCTCTAGCATCATTGCCATCGTCGGTCGAGGCACTACTGTCCACGTCGCTGTCATGTCTATGGATCGAGCGAGTTGCTAAAGGTATCTCGTCATACTCCTTGATTCTTTCAAAGGTACGGTTGATGCTATTGCCTTCCCCTTTGCCTTTGCCTTTGTACGTTGGATAAACAATTTGCTAGTCATAGGTACCCTGCAAGTCAATCACGTGAGTGATGGCACGTGTGACATGACACACATTCTTTTTTCTTATTATATTTTAGTATTTTATCACTTTATATTGTTTGTTGAATATATGCATATATATTGTGATGTCCGTGGATTTGTGCAATGTGAATCGAATCGTGATGAGATCACGATAATGAGACTGATTCACATTTAAACACAAACCCTAAATAATTCTAGTCATAGGTTACTCGAGAAGGACATCAAGATAACCGGACAGACTAGTGTGTTGTATACCCGTCTATATGATGGAGGCAGTTGGTCTCATAACTACTCATGTGGGGACACTAAGGATATAGTGCAGGTGCTCATTGGAGAATGAGTTCACTGATTGATCTGCTCACGGAATACTGGATGGTTGCTGATGCCTTATTGTTAGATAGTGATTCTGTAGTCCTAGTATTGTATTTGGTCCTTAGACTTGAGACACCAAATATATCTTGTATGAGTACTTCACTTTTTGATATTGGACTTATAGGTTTGGATGTTATAAATCTAGTACAATCAGTTATTGGGAGTGGCAACCAAACTTACAAGGGTTATCGAGTATCGATTATCGAGTATCGATAAAGGATCATCCACTCTCGGTATCATGAGAGGAATATCTCGTGTGTTCTTGCTCGAACAAATCCTTAGCCAAGGTCATTCAGATTGAGAGAGAAAGAGTTCTTCGGGAGAATATGATTAAAACGAGACTCGAGAAGAAACTGTATGGGTCTAACAGCACCATACCCGATATCTGGTCTCTAGGATATTACACGATATGTACACAATAACTGAGGACAGATAGGTCCAAAGAATTGGATTCTCTTATATCGTTTGGGGACTATAGTGTAGTGGCCTAATACGTTTGTAGTCGATGAGTCAAGTGAATTATTATGAAGATAATAATTCATTAAGCCAGAAGGAGTTCTGACAGATATGATTCATGGCTAGCTCAATATTGGGCTTAGAGGGTCATACACATATGGTAGGTGTTGCGACGAGTAGAGGTTCGGATATAAGATATCCATTTGAGCCCCTATCTTATTGGATATCCAATAAGCCCCTGAATTATTGGATCCCATGGATGATATCCAATAAGAGATAATAATAGATTATTAGTTAGAGACTCACTAATCTAAGAGACTTGGGTAATTGGATGAAGATCCAATACTCAGTATGGTAGGATCCATTAGGGGTTAACTAGGGGCCTCTATAAATAGGAGAGAACTAAAGACTCATAGGTTGGGGCTTCTTAGTAGCCACCTCCTATTCTCCTCTCCCATTCTCCTCCTCAAATAGTAGGCTCGGAGATTTGAGGAGCGTCGTTGTAGCCTTGCTGTGTGGATCACTGCTAGAGAGAAGGACGCGTGACCTCCTTCATCCACTCCTACAAATCTATAGGGATTCAGAGATATACGATCTCCCTAGGTAACACAACTATCTCACACGTGGTTTTTTGTGTTGTGGGTTTTGTGCACCAATTTATGCACGACGACGAACACGTATGGGGAAATTTAGGGTTTTTTGTTTTATATTCTTTCGCTGCACATATGATATCACTCTTAGATTTCTCAACACAATTATCATTGTTGGATGTCTCTGGTTTCTCGAATAGTTTAACTCGATATTGTCCAACTCATTCTGTCACGTTCTAATCGAAAGAGATCTTTTTTCTCTTGGGGATATGCTTCCTCTACTTTTATTACCTCGATGATAAATTACAAAGGACGTAGAAGATCTCACGCCTCCTCAAATAAAGGATCCTCTTGATTCCTCATTGCTAGGACTTATTCTAACATCGGTTGTTAATCTTTGTTGTAATATTTGAGGTCGATGGGATCAATCTCCACCTTCTTTGACTCTTTATCTAGTTCAACACATCATAACCTTAGTCATATATTATAGTGGATATATACTAGTTTCTTCAACTATTTATACGATAATCTATTGCGAACCTTCGTATGATTCAATGTAAACATTTACTAGTTATATTCGTAACCATTCCATGTTGTCGTTTGCGAAAATACATGAATGGCAACCATTCTTAAATTTGGTGTATCCCCTTTAAATTGTAGCCACCACTTGACTACAAAAAAATATAAATAAGATTTTATTAGCATAATAAATAATAAATATTAAATTTAATTTATAATCAATATATATATATATGTATATATATATATATATATTTCTACCAGGATCTATATTGTAATGACATGATGCTTGTGTATTGATTAGTGGTTTGATATATATTATAATTTCATCCACAACCTCCCAAAATCTAAAAGAAATAAAAGTCTTTTCTGTTGAATCTCGGATTTTGATGATAAAATCAATTGATGGGTTAATTGATCTAATCCATATTATTGAGTTAAGTACGCAGGATTAACTACGATAACTAGAAAATATAAAGCAAGAATACCGGAGTCAAGTTCGATGGACGTTTAAGAGTCCGAAGAATCGTCGGAGATGCTGCCGGAACCAACCGAGAAGAAATCGGGAACCTGTCAGAATTTTCGGAAGTTCGCCGAAGAGATCGTCGGAGGTTCGCGGAGATCACCGAGAAGGCTCGGCTACTCGTTGAAGTCATCACAAGATCGGGAGCTTGCTGGGAGTCCGTCGGAAGAAGTTCGTCGGAAAGCTCGCCGGAACAAGACTCGACGTTCGCGGTTGAA